TGACGAAAGTATTTGAATACTCGTGGAACTCTCTTAGAAATACCTTGTACGTGTTGTACGAGACATTTTGAAATTTCCCTCACTACGATGAAAAATCGCTATCTATTATAATTTGAAAGCAATGTATGTCCATTTTTGTCAATTTCAATCATCGAGGAGACAGGGCATTTGTAGAAATTTTCGTGAATATGTGTATTTGAAACAATGTGGGACGATTTGAAATTTCACTAACACCGTAATGAGGTCCGACTATCACGATCATATCTGTAAAATGTGAAACAAATTTGAAAATGTACCTACTTAGAGGAAAGTTACGAGATATTTAGCGTAAATGTTCAAATACTTGCACGAGCCACTGTATCTTGGATCAGAGTTGAAAGAAATTTTTGAAACGTGCATCTACGGTAATGGTTTGCAAGTTGACGTGAAAATTCGTGGAAAGCGGTCTTCGACTGTCGCGTTTAGGTGGTGGGGTCGTTTGGCATCGGTTTTGTTTGTCCCATCGTTTTGACGATTCGCCTCGTGGACGACAGAAGTTGGGAAAAGCGGGGGAAAACGCGAGAAGCCTGCAACCTGGCGTTCCTCTCCCCGCATCGTCAAACCCCTCGTCGTTGCGCAAACAGAGGAGAAACTTTTCCATATGAGAAATTGTGCTCGACCGGCTTTGCGAAAATTTTGGACCGTTCCTCTTTTCGTCTTCCTCTCTTCTCCCACTCTTTTCCCTCTCTCGATACGCTTCGAGACGCGGAGTTTAATTCGTCGAGTAGCTTTGATCCTCGCGTCGTCGTCACGGGCAGGCAATAACCTTAATTGCTTTCTTCCGTGCGCTTTATTTTTCACGGCGCATTAAAACTTCCCCCGGTGATCAAACGTCGAAAAATCATCTCGGAACTATTTCACGTCGTCGTCTTATCGATAATTAATCTGTTGAGTGGGTAGTTTCTCGACGCGGAACATCGATTACCAGACCGTAACCAGGCCTCTAAATCAATAACTTACACTCTGTTTGCTATAAACTTTGCCAAACGAGCCGCGAGATAAATCTCGTTTCCCCGATTAACAAGTAGATCGGTCGCGTTATTTTCAAAGCTGGCTACGTAACAAGTATCCCAGAGCCGTCGTAAAATTTCACCTCGAACGCGGTGTCCGAACCGTGCACCCCCCCGTTAAATTACCCCTCGTTGTGCTCCCAACAGTTTCCATAAAACACCGGGCATATATTTATCCACGGTATCTCTCCCCAAGGTACGATCGTTCCGACAATCTGTTTCGTTTATCGCAGCCATCCCCCTCCCCCCTCGTCTCTCCCAGTAGACTCAGCCACCCTCTCCTTCATCCGGAACTCGCCTCCGCCACGCCTAAACATCCGAGTCGAGATGATTTTTCGTCGTCTCTTTTCTCTTTTTGCGGAATTTCGCCCTCTTAAACCGACCCTTTCCACCGTCGAAGCGATGGTAGGTTGGAGACACCGAGACCAGGGAGAGAGGGTGAAAAAAAATGGGTGTCACGCTCCAATAAAACAAGCAATATCGCGATGTCCCGGGGCCAAAGAGGTCCCGGGTTATCCTACGGGGGGTCCTGACTCCCGGTGCGCGTCCCAAGGTATATTGCTCCCGGATCATCGCGCCTGCATCGCATTACGGGGATGATATCACCCTTTTCCACACGTACGAACGGACACGCACGCGCCGACTTATATTCTTCTCGGCACAATGCGGAATCGCCGGAACGACGCGGGATAGGACCGAGTATGAGAAACGTGCGGACTGTCTGCGAATTTCCGCGAACACCGCGTGAACCATTTTGGGGGAGGGGGCGAGCGGCAAGGAATCGGTATATTGCGAGCTTAATATAATTCCTTTGTACCGACTCTTTCGCTTGCGATTCTTCCGCCACCGTCGAAAGGAATCGCAGGAGGTTACGGGATTTTACTGGAATATCGTACCATTTTCCGTAAGGATGGAGGCGTAATTATGAAAATTCAGAAGGTAATTATGTCTGTACTTGCGGTTGGTCGGGGTACGGAGAAAAAAATGTTATAGACTGGTATTGTTCCCCTTAATTAAGATTTTCTGTCTGCCATGTCAAAGCTGAGGAAGATCCATGTATTTGCAATTTCTGTCTTTCTTCGTTCGATTTAAAATACATAGTTCTTATTTCATAATACACCTGTAGTACATAACTTTACTTGATACATAAAATGGCGGCAAATTCGAATCGTTATTGATTCGATTTTATTAATTTTTCTGCTGCATTTACGATTTCGCAGGTAGAAAATTCATAGTATTGTATTTGTCGAGATAAGAATATGATATCATGAAACGTAATCTGTGAAATGTTGTGGTCTTTAGCTTAATTAATACAACAAAATGGATCATATACAATTCGATAAAATTGTTTCCTCATGAAACGAAAGAAACTTTTGAGGCAAGCTAACGCGTATGCTCTTTATTCAAAAAAAGCTTCAAACAAAGAAACAATCCTTAAACGCTTTATCAATTTCCTAATGATTTTTGGAGTTCGTCTAAATTTCCGTAATTGTTCCAATACCCAAAGTCGACGTCCTACTGTACATCGACAACTTCGACACTTAGCGATGGTAAGACTACAAAAGAAGGGAATCCATAGAACAGTACCAGCGGCTGGTGAATTTTCGGGCACGGCGGTTTAATCAATCTAATGAATCTTTTCAGTTAGAGAGGAGCCGATTTGGATGGGAGGTGGGATTAGAGTACGAACGAACCGCGCGTTTCATTAAAGGACGCTCGCGTGCAATCGATTCATGCACGTCTCGCGGAGCGATAAATGCCCTCGACACAGAAGGACAATCGCTTCGACGTGCCGCAGCCATTGATACCTTTAGGGGGGTGGCTGGCAGGAAGGAAGAAAGAGAGACAGCGATGCGAGCCCAGCTATCGGGATAAAGGCCCGATCACGCGTGTAACGCGCGGATTATTAATCGCAGAATAATTTGACGCCCCGACGACAGAGGCGGTCCTGACTCCCGGTGCGCGTCCCAAGGTATATTGCTCCCGGATCATCGCGCCTGCATCGCATTACGGGGATGATATCACCCTTTTCCACACGTACGAACGGACACGCACGCGCCGACTTATATTCTTCTCGGCACAATGCGGAATCGCCGGAACGACGCGGGATAGGACCGAGTATGAGAAACGTGCGGACTGTCTGCGAATTTCCGCGAACACCGCGTGAACCATTTTGGGGGAGGGGGCGAGCGGCAAGGAATCGGTATATTGCGAGCTTAATATAATTCCTTTGTACCGACTCTTTCGCTTGCGATTCTTCCGCCACCGTCGAAAGGAATCGCAGGAGGTTACGGGATTTTACTGGAATATCGTACCATTTTCCGTAAGGATGGAGGCGTAATTATGAAAATTCAGAAGGTAATTATGTCTGTACTTGCGGTTGGTCGGGGTACGGAGAAAAAAATGTTATAGACTGGTATTGTTCCCCTTAATTAAGATTTTCTGTCTGCCATGTCAAAGCTGAGGAAGATCCATGTATTTGCAATTTCTGTCTTTCTTCGTTCGATTTAAAATACATAGTTCTTATTTCATAATACACCTGTAGTACATAACTTTACTTGATACATAAAATGGCGGCAAATTCGAATCGTTATTGATTCGATTTTATTAATTTTTCTGCTGCATTTACGATTTCGCAGGTAGAAAATTCATAGTATTGTATTTGTCGAGATAAGAATATGATATCATGAAACGTAATCTGTGAAATGTTGTGGTCTTTAGCTTAATTAATACAACAAAATGGATCATATACAATTCGATAAAATTGTTTCCTCATGAAACGAAAGAAACTTTTGAGGCAAGCTAACGCGTATGCTCTTTATTCAAAAAAAGCTTCAAACAAAGAAACAATCCTTAAACGCTTTATCAATTTCCTAATGATTTTTGGAGTTCGTCTAAATTTCCGTAATTGTTCCAATACCCAAAGTCGACGTCCTACTGTACATCGACAACTTCGACACTTAGCGATGGTAAGACTACAAAAGAAGGGAATCCATAGAACAGTACCAGCGGCTGGTGAATTTTCGGGCACGGCGGTTTAATCAATCTAATGAATCTTTTCAGTTAGAGAGGAGCCGATTTGGATGGGAGGTGGGATTAGAGTACGAACGAACCGCGCGTTTCATTAAAGGACGCTCGCGTGCAATCGATTCATGCACGTCTCGCGGAGCGATAAATGCCCTCGACACAGAAGGACAATCGCTTCGACGTGCCGCAGCCATTGATACCTTTAGGGGGGTGGCTGGCAGGAAGGAAGAAAGAGAGACAGCGATGCGAGCCCAGCTATCGGGATAAAGGCCCGATCACGCGTGTAACGCGCGGATTATTAATCGCAGAATAATTTGACGCCCCGACGACAGAGGCGGTGACGTGCCCCCTGCCAGCTCTCATCC